CTCCTGGGTTCAGGCAATTCTCCTGCCTCAGCCTCCTGAGTAGCTGGGATTACAGGCATGCGCCACCATGCCCAGCTAATGTTTTGTATTTTTAGTAGAGACGGGGTTTCTCCGTGCTGACCAGGATGGTCTCGATCTCTTGACCTCGTGATCCACCCGCCTCGGCCTCCCAAAGTGCTGGGATTACAGGCTTGAGCCACCGCGCCCGGCCTTGTTTTGTTTTTTTTAGATGGAGTTTTGCTCTTGTCGCCTAGGCTGGAGTGCAGTGGTGCGATCTCGGCCCACTGCAACCTCTGTCTCCCGGGTTCAAGTGATTCTCCTATCTCAGCCTCCCAAGTAGCTGGGATTACAGACGCCCACTACCACACCCTGCTAATTTTTTGTATTTTTAGTAGAGATGGGGTTTCGCCATGTTGGGTAGGCTGGTCTCGAACTCCTGACCTCAAGTGATCCGCCCACGTTGGCCCCTTTAAGTGCTGGGATTACAGACATGAGCCACTGAGCCCAGTTTGTTGCTCTAATTTTTTTTTTTTAGACGGAGTCTCACTCTGTCACCAGCTGGAATGCAGTGGCATGATTTCAGCTCACTGCACCCTCTGCCTCCCAGGTTCAAGTGCTTCTTCTGCCTCAGCCTTCTGAGTAGCTGGAACTACAGGTGTGCACCACCACGCCCAGCTAATTTTTGTATTTTTAGTAGAGATGGGGTTTCACCATGTTGGGCAGGCCGGTCTGGATCTCTTGACCTCATGATCGGCCTGCCTTGGCCTCCCATAGTGCTGGGATTACAGGCATGAGCCACCGTGCCCAGCTCTGTTTTAATTTTTATCTTTTAAGCCCCACCCTCAGAAGCAGCCATTAATGAAGAAGCTGTCCTTTCTCTGCAGCATTGCTTTTGAGCCTTCATAAAAAATCATTGAACATATATGTATGAGTTTATTTTTGGACTCGTTGTTCAGTTCCATTGATCTCTTTTTCTGTCTTTACCCCAATAACTCATTGTGTTGATTACTACAGCTTGAATTCCCTAATGAGTAATGATGTCTACCATCTTTTCTTTTGTGTGCGCAAAAGAAATTAATACAGATTAATAATATAAGTTAATACAAATTAATAATTCTTGAAATCAAGTAGTGTTGGTCCTCTACTTTTGTTCTTCATTTTCAAAGTTGTTTTTGCTATTCTGACTTCTTTGCATTTCCATGTAAACTTTACAGTCAGCTGTTGATTTCTATAAAAAACTACTGGGAGTTTTGACTGGGGTTGTTTTAGAGCTGTCATTCAATTTGGAGGTGCTAAGATTTTAGTGATACTGAGCCTTCTGACCTATAAGCAAGCTGTATCAGTCCATTGATGTTTGCCTCATAATTTTATTCAGCAATATTATATAGTCAGTTTATAGGTCTCTCACATCTTTGTGAGATTTATTCTTAATGTTTAATATATTTTCTGCTGTTGTGAATGGTGTTTTATTTTTCAGGTTTAATTCATTCACTTTGTTGTTCTTGTGTAAAAACTCTATGTGGTGGTCACAGTTGGAGCCCAGCTCCTCTGCGTGGAGACTGTGGTGTAGGTTTTTATAAGATGGTCAGTGAATTTCTGTTAGGTAAGATAGCTGCAGGTCTTAGAGATGGCATTGAAGGTGGCCTTTGCAAAGTTGCCCAAGGTGGCAGTGCAACCCCCAGCTAAGCTGGAGCAGCTGTATCTTCCATCCACGCAGCTTCATGGGCACAGGGGTATCAAGTAGGTCTGGGTGTGGGATTGCTAATGTGCCCACCTCTGAAGTCCCTCCTCTTGGGACATTGGAGAAGTTGGCCAGGATGATGGTCCCACAGTGGCAGTGGCTACCTCCTTGGAGCACTGAACACCTAGACTGACGTGACTGGTGTAGTCCCTGATTGTGACAGATGCCTTGAAGCTGATCTGGACAGTTCAGATCTGCTTTTGCACAGGTGTAAGGGATACCCCCAGGAAAAAGTCAGTGTTCTCAGACTACTTGATGGGCAAGAATAAGAGAGGAATCTTCTCTAGGAACTTGATCTTTATGTACTTGACCTGGGTCTTTCCTTGGCTGATGGATAAATTACTGGTTTTAAGAAAAAAAGTTTTTAGAAGCGTAGTGTTTATGTGGAGGTTTTTTTTTGTTGTTGTTGTTGGCTGATTGCCAGTTGTCTACCTTCTTCAGTCTTATAGTAGCCTGTCTCAAGGCAGGTTATCGGTGGTGTGATTTTCAGTAAGTGGTCCCCTTTGGTCTGACTCTTGACAGGTACTGGAGGCGCAAAGAAGGCATCAGAAGGAGAAATCTGGCATCATACCTACCTCACCGACGCCCTACACTTACAACAAGGTACAGGAAGAGATATTTCTCTTCATTAAGCAGATGCAACCTCTCCTCTTTAGTGAGGTGTTTGTAGCCTTCTGGGAATGTGGCCAATTCCATTCTCACCTCTTGATTTTCCTGCCCCAAGGAAGCAGCCAGACTTGCAGAAAAGTATTTGGAATTCAAGTTTTTGTTTGTTGAAATACTAAATAAGGTTTGTACTCATTTTGCTTTTGCAGCAGTAATTAGGAGCTGTGATCACCCATCAGGTTATTTTTTTGACTGTCTGTACAATCCACTGGCCACACTGAAAAGATGTGGTTGGCTTGTGTTTTGAGGGGTAGGCCATTTCTGAGACACACAAGTTGGAGAACACTTTGTGGTCATTTATGGTACTATTGTTTCTTACTTCATAAAATACCCAGTAAAGAACAGTATCTGATACACACAGCAAGGGCTCCTAAATGTTACTTGGTACTATTGTGGTTCTTAATCTGTAGCCCACAGTTTTTTTTTTTTGAGACAGAGTCTCGCTCTATTGCCCAGACTGGAGTACAGTGGCATTTTCTCAGCTCACTGAAACCTCTGCCTCCTGTGTTCAGGTGATTCTCCTGCCTCAGCCTCCCAAGTAGCTGAGATTATAGGCTCATGCCACCACAGTTGGCTAATTTTTGTATTTTTAGTAGAGATGGGGTTTCTCCACGTTGGCCAAGCTGGTCTCAAAACTCCTGACCTCAAGTGATCCACCCGCCTCAGCCTCCCAAAGTGCTAGGATTAGAGATATGAGCCACTGCGCCTGGCCTGTGGCCCATACATTGATCCTGTCTATTCTTTCTTTTTTTTTTTTTTTCCTTGAGACAGAGTCTTGCTTTGTCACCTAGACAGGAGTGCAATGGTGCAATCTCTACTCACTGTCACTTCCTTCTCCTGAGTTCAAACAATTCTCCTGCCTTAGTCTCCAAAGTAGCTGGGATTACAGGCACCTGCCACCATGCCCGGCTTATTTTTTGTATTTTTAGTAGAGACCGGGTTTCGCCCTGTTGGCCAGGCTGGTCGTGAACTCCTGACCTCAGGTGACCCACCTGCCTCAGCCTCCCAAAGTGCTGGGATTATGGGCATGAACCACTGCACTCACCTGATCCTGTCTATTCTAAAGCACAAGAGGTTTCGGGCCTCTTGAAACAGGCCCTGGAGTCACTGAGTAAGTAGATCAGAAAAAAAATGATGCTACTTGGGGACTTGAGGCTAGCTATAGATGACAGAGAAGGGCCTGAGAATGGTAAAAAGGCAGTAGGCTGGGACACTTGCTGTGGCTCCACTACTCTTTATGTGACATTGTTGAGGTCACTTGGTTTCACTCTTGACAGAAGACCTGAGAGATGACATGATCTCTGCAGTATTAGTTGCCTTTCTGGAAAGTGAGGGATTGAAGGTCCCTTTCCACCCCTGTAATTTTATATTGTGATTCTGTTCTACAGCATGAGTTATGTCATCCACAAATATCTACTAGTATAATGTGAAAACATGGGCAGGCCAGGTGCCATGGCTCACGCCTGTAATCCCAGCACTTGGGGAGGCCAAGGCAGGCAGATCACGAGGTCAGGAGTTCGAGATCATCCTGGCCAACATGGTGAAACCCTGTCTCTACTAAAAATACAAAAAATTAGCTGGGCATGGTGGTGTGCGCCTGTAATCCCAGCTACTCGGGAGGCTGAGGCACAAGAATCACTTGAACCAGGGAGGAGGAGGTTGTAGTGAGCCAAGATCGCGCCACTGCACTCCAGCCTGGCAACAGAGCGAGATGCTGTCTCAGAAAAAAAAGGAAAGAAAGAAAACATGGGTGAGAGTAGCTGAGACGCCCCGTTATCCAGCCTTTGCTCAAAGTAGCACACAGCTGTGGTGTGAGGGGTTGTGGGGCCCCAGTGGCAGGCTCACTTCTCAGAGCAGCACACAGCTGTGGTGTGAGGGAGTGGCAGGCTCACCGGGCTGCCATCTTAGGCAGATACCTCTTTTATCTCATCGTTCAAGAAAGGCTTGAATTGAAGCCTCTGCAGACCCAGTTTTCAAAGCAAATAGAACTGCATTTAACCGAAATAGGAGTCCTTTCTTTATGCAGTGATTATAGGCCATGGAGTCACGTTACCACCTGCAGACATGGTAGTTGGTAGCAGTTTTGTTTTTTTCCACAGTTTCTACCCCCTGAATGGTGTAAGAGCTTGCAGATGGACTCAGTGAGTCCTTCATGGTCAAAGGAGTGCATTTAGATCTTCCGTTCTTCCCTCCAGTCCTCTCCATGATCTGTATCAAACTGCTTTGGGCCTTTACGAAGTGGCCTGTGCTATATTGTAGGTGAGCCTACCTGTGTCTTAGTCGCTTTGTTTCTACATACAGGTTTCACAGCCAGCTGGTTTGTATCTATTACTTTTCTGGCTGGGGCAAAGCATCCTATACCTGTACACAAGGATCAGATAGATGCTTGGGCCTGAAGAGTGAGAATGAAAGTACCTGTTTATTTCATCCCAGGCTGGCTTTGTATGATGGGATGCATGTATGTAGTATTGGTAGCTTATTGAAAATATGGAGAGAAAGCCTAGTTCTCTTAAGACTTCCTTCAGCTTTCCTTGTCTGTTAAGTGACTCTAGGTGATAGCAGCCAGTATATTGCAGGGGTTATTTCTGGGCCTGTCATGGAGGCTTTATTTGGGGGCTCTGCTTCTGCTGTGAGTGACCATTTTCTTTTTTGTTTTCAGAGCTGTGACTTGTGGTCCCTAGGGGTGATTATCTATGTGATGCTGTGCGGATATCCTCCTTTTTACTCCAAACACCACAGCCGGACTATCCCAAAGGATATGCGGAGAAAGATCATGACAGGCAGTTTTGAGTTCCCAGAGGAAGAGTGGAGTCAGATCTCAGAGATGGCCAAAGACGTTGTAAGGAAGTGAGTTTGCGGGCTGCTGGGCAGGGAGGCCGAGGAGGCCTCCAGGTGGTGGAGCTCAAGAGAATGTGGGTGGAGAAAAGTCGTTGGTTTCTCAGGCGGGCTCCTTCCCGTTTTAATATTACAGAAATTTCTCTGGAGCCTGAGGTGACTGTTCTCAGTGTCTACACCTCGGTGCGAACGAAGCTTTCCTCCCTCCTGTTGCATCCCTAGACTTTGTCCCCAGGGTGTGAACCCAGGTCCCTCTGTAGCCAGTCTTGGCACATTAATTCAAGACCCTAAATTAGAAACCTGGTGTGCTCTCCTTCTTGCATGTGAGCCGGCACGTCATTTGGGACACATGATGCCAGAAAGTGAACTAGGTGCTGAGATCATGACACCACATTTGGTTTTTCATTCCTTGGATGCTGTGGGCATGTGGGTTTGTCAGGCCTGGATCCCACCCTTTACCGTCCCATGGCTCGTTGGTTGCTCTAACATATCCTTTTTTTTTTTTTTTTTTTTTTTTTTNTTTTTTTTGAGACGGAATCTTGCTCTGTTGCCCAGGCTAGAGTGCAGTGGGTCAACCTTGGCTTACTGCAACCTCTGCCTCCTGGGTTCATGTAATTCTGCTGCCTCCGTCTCCCAAGTGGCTGGGATTACAGGCACACGCCAGCACGCCCGGCTAATTCTTGTATTTTTAGTAGAGACGGGGTTTCACCATGTTGGGCAGGCTGGTCTCAAACTACTGACCTCAAGTGATCTGCCCACCTCAGCCTCCCAAAGTGCTGGGATTATAGGCGTGAGCCGCCACACCTGGCTGCTCTGATGTATCTTAAGATGGGAAGATTTAGTAAAGAATTACGGCTAGTGAAAATAAGAAAAATAAAAAAGACAAAAATAGAAAAGAATTACAGCTAGTGTGTAGATGAGGGAGAGTTGACATTCAGAGTCCTTTGGTAACTGGAGGGCTAGGTAAGATGTCAGACCTAAATTGGAATATGTTTGTTTTTCCACCCACATGTGTGGGAGGCTTGGTTGCCTGTGGCCTTAGGCACTGCAACCGTCTTCCCACTGCTGGGGCTTCACTGAGAAGTTTCTCCTTTGTTGGTCAGTTTCTTCCTCTGTGATGGGATGAAGGTGCGTGTTTAGGGCAGTACCTGGGAGCTGTCTCCTGACAGCACTGCCATTTCTCCATGCTCCCTTTCAGAAGGGAGCTTGTCCTGTTGATTGGAGGGTTGGGGGTTGGGGGGTTGGGAGCAGGTTCTGTGTGCTATAAAGAGGGACTGTTTTCTAAAGAGACAAGTAAAAGATTTTAGGAACGTGGGTGCAATGATTAAATCACCATCTGTCCTCACATGCTGTTTCCTTGCTGTATTCCCTGCTATTTGACCAAAACCTCAATGTCCTGGAAGTAGTTCTTTGCCAGTTTTCTGTAGAATACATTTCCCGTCTGTAGAGCAACACTGATTATCTTTTTGGTTTTGGGATTTTCCAAATAATCCTTTCTTTATAATCTGAAGCCCTTGTTCAGAATGATCCAGAAGAAGGTTGCAGGCAAGCTGAGGAGCAGTTAGGCATGTTGTCCTGACATTTGTAATGAGAGGAGATGGAGTTGGAAGGAGGGAACGTGCAGAGATGAGCTAGGAACCGCATCAGCGGGAATGAATGAGATGGAAAGAAGCATGATCTGAAGGCAGACGGCACAGAAGTAGCACCCTGGGCTTAGAAGGAATGCCATCCCCATCTCAGAGACTCTATAAGTTTTTAGCTTTTAAATGTCTCTGGAATAATGGGTTCATGTCCTGCCATATGGTGCTATCTAAGAGTTTTATCAAGTGTAGCAACCTGCTTTTTCAGAACCTCATGACCCTTCAACTAATTTTGCAGCCACTGTCAGACAAAAGAGCACTTGGAGTTCCTTTTGGAAGTTAGAGTCCATTGTCCTAGAAATCTCACTATGGAGATTCAAGGTCTTAAACCCTAGAACTCAGAAGTACCACTGGAATAAGCCCTTTTCTACCATTTTAATCTCACTTTTTCCAGTATAGAAAGGACTGCCTCAAGCCATAGTACCCCTGCAAATGGCTGGAGACTAGAATCCCCGCTGTGCTCTGCAGGTGGAAAGCCTAGGCTTGCAGAAGTCAGTGGGAAGTCAGAACCAGCTAGAGCTGTTTAGAGGCAGGCCCAAGAACTCCCTATGGCCTCTTGATAGTAGCAACTGTGCGTGGCAGCCCTGTTGCCATTTTCTCTACAGGCTCCTGAAGGTCAAACCGGAGGAGAGACTCACCATTGAGGGAGTGCTGGACCACCCCTGGCTCAATTCCACTGAGGCCCTGGATAATGTGCTGCCTTCTGCTCAGCTGATGATGGACAAGGTTTTGAATGATGCTTATTTATTGGCTGAAAAGGCTGCGTTGGGAAGGAATGCTGGGGCTTGACTTAGTGAGGGGCTAAAGGCAAAACAGTGCACAGGACATGATCCTTCCCAAAGAAACATCTCTGGTTTCCTGAGAGTTAGGATCCAAAATAAGGAACTTCTTTCGGTAAAAGACCAAATCAAGGCCTGGTGAATATGCACTTAGGGGCACTCAAAGGAATAGCCTCCATATTTCTGCAAAGGGACTGGGGGCACAGAGCAGTTTAAGATACCCTCCCTTCCCCTGAGGCTTTAAACAAGACTGGCTGGGAAGGCAAGGCCAATAAACATGAAACAGAGGGAACATTTCAAACATCAGAGCCTTGCATGTTAAATTTTCTGTGAATGCTGTGGGAATTCAGAAAAAGAGCACATCTTTGAAGGGATGTAATTTGCCCAAAGAGAAGGCAGAACCCCTCACATGTATTAACTGTCTATTATGTGTCAGCATTTGAGCTCTTTCTCATATTCAGGCATGTGCTGTCCTTGAAGAATTTGAGTAGACAGTGTAAAATGCCTGTGTGTGGTAAACAACATAAGCAAAAAACAGAGATCCAAATACATCATTGGGAAAAACAACTTGGCCTCACTAATGGGAAGTTAATGAGATGGGTGTGACAGGGCCAGGCTTTGCAAGTGGACTGAGGGGTTTAAGTCTTAGTGGGATGCAACTGAGAGGTCATGATAGCTTTTTGAGATTTGCCACTAGGAAGGTATTTAGAGATGGCCAGTCAGACTTGGCAACTTGCAGACTTGCCAACCTAATACTTCTGCAGTAATCTAGAAGCTGGGGGTGGCTACGGGAGCAGGGAAGTAGAGGTTAATGAATAGGCTAAATGTTTTTCAAAAAAATTTTCTGCAGTTTTTGGTGACAGACTAGATATAAGGGGACAGGAGTGGCATAACTGGTGATAACATTGACAAATTAGGAAGGAGGCTGGTTTGGGTGAGAGGAAGTCTCTTAGGGTTTAGAGATTGAGGTGGCAGAAGAACATTCAAACGAATGAGATGTATAGGGTGGGACCATAGTGTGGCTGGGAGCTCAAAGCAATGACAGAGACTTGAGTGTTAACATCTTGAAGGGGTAGAGTGGAAGTGTTAGAAGTCTCTTTCTAAGTTTAGCTGGAACATGGAAGTAAAAGGAGAACTGGAAAGTACAGTTCTCTGTGTTCTCTTTGATTTGTAGGTAGTTGTCTTCCTGTAGTCCAGAAACGGTTTGGTCATTGTAAAATCCAAAGGGATTACTTAGATCCTGGTTGTCAGCACATAGAGGTTACAGTGTGGCACTCCTCAAGATCTTAAAAATGAGGAGATAAAGCCTGGTATGGTGGCTCTCCCCTGTAATCCCAGCACTTTGGGAGGCTGTGGTGGGGGGATCACTTGAGGTCAAGAATTCAAGACCAGCCTGGCCAAAATGGGGAAACCTCATCTCTACCGAAAATACAAAAATGAGCTGGGCATGGTGGCAAGCACCTGTAATCCCAGCTACTTGGGAGGCTGAGGCAGGAGAATCGCTTGAGTCCAGGAGGCAGAGGTTGCAGTGAGCCTAGATCTACCACTGCACACCAGCCTGGGCAACAGATGAGACTGTCTTAAAAAAAGTGGTCAGGATATGAATGGTCAACTTTGGAAGTGTAGAACACTCTCCACCCAAGCCCTGTCTAGGAGCCTGAGCTCATGACCTTGAGCTGCTTCCTTCTTCGGCCAGGCCGTTATTGATTAAATGGATGTGAAGATGCAGAAAGGCATAGCTAATACAGAGCCCATAAATGAGTTCCAGCTTTTCCTGATCTAATGTCATGCACACCATGGAACTACTGTTGTTGTTGTTGTTGTTTTTGAGATGGGAATTTTACTCTTGTTTCCCGGGCTGGAATATAATGGTTATGATCTTGGCTCACTGTAACCTCCGCCTCCCAGGCTCAAGCCATTCTCCTGCCTCAGCCTCCTGAGTAGCTGAGATTACAGGCATGTGCCACCACACCCGGCTAATTTTGTAATTTTACTAGAGATGGGTTGGTCAGGCTGGTCTCGAATTCCTGATCTCAGGCATTCCGTCCGCCTTGGCCTCCCAAAGTGCTGGGACTATAGGTGTAACTACTTTTAAAAGTTGTCAAATTTTGGCCAGGCTTAGTGACTTGTACCTGTAATCCCAGCACTTTGGGAGACTGAGATGGGTGGATCACTTGAGGTCAAGAATTCGAGAGCAGCCTGGCCAACATGGTGAAACCCTGTCTCTACTAAAAATACAAAAATTAGCTGGGCGTGGTGGCACATGCCTGTAATCCCAGCTACTCAGGAGGTTGAAGCAGGAGAATTGCTTGAACCTGGGGGCAAAGGTTGTAGTGAGTCAAGTTTGCACCACTGTACTCCAGCCCCTGGGAGACAGAGCAAGAATCCATCTCAAAAAAAAAGAAAAATTGTCAAATTTTGTTGTGAAAATTCAGATGATATAGTGAGTGATATTAAAAGAAAAAGTAAAACTTCCCTTTCATTCCCCTGTCATAGTCTCAACCCTCAGAGGTAAGGTAATCTGTGGCTTGATGTATACTTTCTGATCATTTTCTGGGATACACACACATATACACAGTTTGTCCTTCTTCTAAAATACAAAAATGGGATCATATTCCTATGAAGCCTTCTGCTGATTTGGTCTGCCCATAATGAGAGCATACACTGTTCATAAAAGCACAAACTTCAAGAGTTCCAGACTCCATGACAGCTATTTCTCACTATAAATTACTTGACTGGTTGTGGCCTCGATCATGTGGCCACAGGCTTGGCCATGCCCACCATGTGAGATGGTCAGGGCTCTGAGCCATCAGGGCTAGGTGAATCAGTCCCGTCTGTAAGGCTTCTTGGGCAGCAGCCTGCCAGCCTTCCTGCTGATGTCCATATGTGCCTCTCTTTACGCCTCCCCTCAGCAGTGGCTGCGAGTGGGGGTTCTGCTGGTATTTCTTACTTGCATTTCTGTCTCCCGACCAGGGACGAAAGGCTAGCTGTTGTGTGACCTTTGGTTGGCCTGGTGTTCCCTGGTTCCTGCTGATCCATGGGGAAGAGTCCTTCACCTTATCAAAATATTTACATTCCTTCAGCATAAGTGTGAAATTGTCTTCTTAGTACCTTGAGCTTTTCCTTTCCACTTTCTTAGACTGGCTTTTTAGGTGCCCAGCAATGAATATGAAAAACTGACGGCAGTGTTTGCATTCAGGCAGTGGTTGCAGGAATCCAGCAGGCACATGCGGAACAGCTGGCCAATATGAGGATTCAGGATCTGAAAGTCAGCCTCAAACCCCTGCACTCAGTGAACAACCCCATTCTGCGGAAGAGGAAGTTACTTGGGTAACTGAGCTTATTTCTTGGATTCTTCTTCATGGCTAGAATGGCTGAGTACTGGGTTCTGAAATTTAAGAAATTTAACTTGCTCGACCAGGGGTCTACCTTTCTTTGGCCTCTCAAGAGGGTGGAGATGGTAAGCTCTTTAAATAGTATCAGGAGTTGGACATACTGTATCATTGTTTTTCTGAAATATGTTGCCTTATGTTTAGAGTTAGTATCTGTCCAGAGTTGGTTTTTGGGGTCTCATGTTGTCATTACCTCTCCCTCAAACTCTTAAAGCACCAAGCCAAAGGACAGTGTCTATATCCACGACCATGAGAATGGAGCTGAGGATTCCAATGTTGCCTTGGAAAAACTCCGAGATGTGATTGCTCAGTGTATTCTCCCCCAGGCTGGTAAAGGTCACACCATTTACTAATCCTCTGTGTGTCGGGGGAGGTAGGGTGGAGAGAGGGTTGGGGGAGGTGTATGCATGCACATGGCAAAAGGAATGGTTTAATTCTGGGTTGTTTCATCTTGTGTTATAAGAAAAGTACACTATATAAGGTGGTCTGTGCCCACTAAAAAGATTGAACAGTGGGAGCTCAGAAATGCAGTTAAGTTCTACCCTCCTTTGGTTTTCTGTGAAATTTCTAGTTTAGAATTAATTGGCAGTGTCAGGGCAAGCATGCAATTTTGTGTTTTCTTAGTTTTATAACAAGGGCACAAGTTGGGGGATGGAGAATGGAAAGTATGGGTAGGGTCTGAATCTCATTGCAGGCTGTTCAGTATTTCTAGAGCCTTTAGAGTGCAAGGCTGCCATTAGCTCACAAATATGAGAACACCTCCCTAGTTGAGAAGCAGCTCCTGCTGCTACTCTTATCATGGGCAGAGTGACTTACATGTGGGTCCTTTGGAGTGAAAGCTTTATTTCATTATATTCTCTCTCCACTCAACAGGGTGTGAGGGGCTATTCTCATCAGATGAATGACGTACTTCACGTATTAGGCCAGAAAATGGTTGAGTTGACCTGTCTATCTCCCTAGATTCCCTAGGCTTTAAGACAACTTATATAGTGTCCCTCAGTTAGCTTTCTAAAGTAAGAAATGAGCTTAGGAGAAAGAAGGTAGCCCACTCTCCCACTTTTGGTCTTCGGTTGACCAGGTGTCTTTTGTTCAACAGTAGGGTCTACCATAGCCTGTTTCCCATCCCCCGGTGATAAGACTCTGGGGCCATCAGAGGATTTGTATGAGGATGTCACAGTAAAAGAGTCCAAATACCAGATGTGGTCTACATAATACAGGGACTAGCAGTAAAGCCTATGTCTGGTGAAGTTTTGCAAACTCAGTCATTATTTTTCAACCAGTTGGACATCACGTCCTTCCATCTCTCACACTAAAACCCCATGATGCTGCAGGAAAAATGCAACTTCCTCTTCATCCTTACCAATAGGAGAGAATGAAGATGAGAAACTGAATGAAGTAATGCAGGAGGCTTGGAAGTATAACCGGGAATGCAAACTCCTAAGAGATACTCTGCAAAGCTTCAGCTGGAATGGTAGGAGTCTTCATCACTCCCTTTCCCAGGAATTCAGACAAGTGATTATGTTTAGAACATTGTTGTAGGATCTCTTCCGGGCCTGAGCTGCCGCTGTCTGGAAGTGAAGTGAGGCTGGCTGGAGAGTGAGTGGAGCATTGTGGAATGTGCGTTAGCTCTACATTAACTGCCAGGCATATCTGGATGTCTGGCCCTTTCACTTATTTTCCAGAGTTCAAGTGAATTGCGTGTTGCAGATTCAGCACTGGAAAGCCCCCATCACACACTACTTGGGTTAAAAAAACCCAGATTTCAGAACTCCCAGATACCAGGACTGTTCACGAGGTCATTAAGGAGCAACACGTGCTGCAAGGGATAAAGAGGACAAAGTGACAATGAGTCCACCGTGCTGACCCTGCTGATCTGCTTAGCTTAGAGAAAAGCTGTTTCACCAAAGAGGAGAAAGTTTGCCAGATATACTGCTGGTTAAGTTTTTTCCCCCAGGCAAATAAGGTAGAGATGTATTTCTTGAACTGACTTTTTTTTTTTTGAGATGGAGTTTCACTCTATCCCCCAGGTTGGAGTGCAGTGGCATAATCCTGGCTCACGGCAACCTCTACCTCCTGGGCTCAAGCGATTCTCCTGCCTCAGCCTCCCAAGGAGCTGGGACTACAGGTGCACACCACCCATACTCAGCTAGTTTTTGTATTTTTGTTTAGTAGAGACGGGGTTTCACCATTCTGGCCAGGCTGGTCTTGAACTCCTGACCTCAAGCGATCTACCCACTTCGGCCTCCCAATGTGTTGGGATTACAGGCATGAGCCACTGTGCTTGGCCTGCCTCACTTGTTTCTTAGACATGCCATAAGAAATCTAAAGTTCTAGCCTGGCCATTCCTATACTTGGAGGAGACTCACTTCCCTGGGATTTTTTTTTTTAAAGAAAAACTTGAAATATGTCATTTTAGAAAAGTGATCTCATACGAATTATGGACTTCAGTGAATTTTCACAAAGTGCACACTCCTCTGTAACCAGCACCTAGATCATGTAGTAGATGTCCTGTTCCGGTCACTCCCTCCCTCCATTCAAGAGTAATAACAGTCCTGATTTCTAGCACTATAGCCTAATTTTGCCTGATTTTGTATTCTTTGTGAATGGAATCACACAAGTCTGTTTTTTTATGTCTGACTTCTTTTAGTCACATATATTTTAGTCATTATATTTATGAGATCCATCCATGTTGTGTAGCAGCAGATCATTCATTCTCATTCTATGAATATGTGCTATATTTCTCCATTCTACTGTCGAATGGACTTCAGGATTATTTCCAGGTTTGGGAAATTCAGAAAAGGGCTGTGATGAATACTCTTGTATATGTCTTTTGATGAGCTCAGCTATCTTACGTGTATAGGATTAGAATTGCTGGCTCATGGAGGTCTTCATCTGCCTGACTTTAGTGGGTACTACCACCAGTTTTTCAAAGTGGTTGTATGAATTTATGAACTCCCACTAGCAGTGTTTGGGGGTTCTGGTTACTTCACATCCATACCAACTGTTTCTATTGTCTTTAAAACATCTTTGTTATCCTGGTTAGTATGTAGCTGGTATTGCAATGTGGTTTTAGTTTGCATTACCCTGATCACTGATGTACTTTTTAAATGTTTATGGGCCAGTTAGATTTCCTCTTTTGTTGAAGTACATATTCAAGTCTTTTACCCATTTTTTTTTTTCACTGAGTTGTATCTTTCTTATAGATGTACAGGAATTCTTTCTATATTCTGGATATGAGTCATTGGTCAGCTGTGTGCAGTATAAAAATCTTGTCTCTCTTTGTGGTTTGCTTGTATGTTGTGGTGAGCTTTGGATTTTTACTGCCAGGTTAGTGGAACTGTACAATTGCTACCTGAAAAATAGGGGATCTGAACTGCTTTTGATCAGTGGTGGGAGTGGTTTCTCCACTGGTGAGGGCAAATTTGATATTGGTAAGCTGGACCTGACTGGTCTCTGTCAAGAGTCTGCCACTTCTTTGAGAGTTTGAGGACTGACCTGGTTCTTTTTTGGCTTTCAGGTCGTGGATTCACAGATAAAGTAGATCGACTAAAACTGGCAGAAATTGTGAAGCAGGTGATAGAAGAGCAAACTACGTCCCATGAATCCCAATAATGACAGCTTCAAACTTTGTTTTTTGTAACAATTTGAAAAATTATTCTTTAATGTATAAAGTAATTTTATGTAAATTAATAAATCATAATTTCATTTCCACATTTATTAAAGTTGCTGTATAGATTGAAGGTGCAGGACTTAGTATAGTTATTGTTTGTTTTTAAGAAAAGCTCAGTTCCTAGCGATATACTATTTAGGACTGTGTAGTCATATATTTGTGAGATGACAGATGATGCTGTCAAGCAATATTGTTTTATTTGTAATAAAGTATACAAAAACCACTTGCCAGCAGAAGATAAAGGACTGACTATACTGACCTTTCCGATTAGTAAACAGTTGAATCAAGGACTGTGGAGTCTGGTTTCAGTTGCCCTGTGTATTTCTTTTCTGCACCATTGCTAGATTAGCTCTAGTGTCAAGACATTTTTGTGGATCAGTCATTGCAGACTGCCTGCTGGAACTCACGGGAAGCACACTTGAGCTTGGAGAGCCAGCGCTCATGATGGAAGAAGAGGGAGTTGAGCCCTCATTGCTCCTGCCCCTAATTCCCTAGAGAAAAGCAGGAACATTTCCTTTCTGTCATATTTGTTAAAAGGGTACTGGTGTGTTTCTTAAATCTGACAGGGTTGGGCACGGTGGCTCATACCTGTAATCCCAGCATTTTAGGAGGCTAAGGCAGGCGGATCACAAGGTCAGGAGATAGAGACCAGCCTGGCCAACATGGTGAAACCCCGTCTCTACAAAAAATACAAAATTAGCTGGGCATGGTGGCACACTCCTGTAGTCCCGGCTACTCGGGAGGCTGAGGTGGGAGAATCTCTTGAACCCAGGAGGCGGAGGTTGCAGTGAGCTGAGATCGTGCCACTGCACTCCAGCCTGGGTGACAGAGCGAGACTCCGTCTCAGAAAATAAATCTGTTTTCTTGTGTGTTTATTCCAGACAGAGCCTCACCCTGTCGCCCAAGCTGGAGTGCAGTGGCGCAGTCTCGGCTTACTGCAGTCTCCGCCTCTAGGATTCAAGTGATTCTCCTGCCTCAGCCTCCTGAGTATCTCCCACCTCAGCCTCTCAAGTATCTGGGAATACAGGTGCCCGCTACCACACCCGGCTAATTTTGGTATTTCTGATAGAGGCGGGGTTTCGCCATGTTGGCCAGAGGGTTCTTGAGGTCCTGATCTTGTGATCCATCCGCCTCGGCCTCCCAAAGTGCTAGAATTACAGGCGTCAGCCACCAAGCCTGGCCTATTCTTTGTATGTTTAACCGGAGCTTCCCTTTCCCCTTCTATGAGGTCCTGCTTTGTCCTTTCCCCTTCCCTGCAGCCTTCCTTTATTTCCTTTCCCTGTTCCTCTGGTCCTCTTTTTGGAATAATTTGTCTGAGAAATATACATATAATTGAAGTAGCCCTATTGGATTATTGTGTAAGATGATCCAGTTTTTTTTTTTTTTTTTTTTTTTTTTTTTTTTTTAATTTTTTTTTTTTTTTTTTTTTTTGAGACAGAGTTTCGCTCTTGTTACCCAGGCTGGAGTGCAATGGCGCAATCTCGGCTCACCGCAACCTCCGTCTCCTGGGTTCAGGCAATTCTCCTGCCTCAGCCTCCTGAGTAGCTGGGATTACAGGCACGCGCCACCATGCCCAGCTAATTTTTGTATTTTTAGTAGAGACGGGGTTTCACCATGTTGACCAGGATGGTCTCGATCTCTTGACTTCGTGATCCACCCGCCTCGGCCTCCCAAAGTGCTGGGATTACAGGCGTGAGCCACCCCGCCCGGCCCCAGTTTTGTTTTGTTTTGTTTTCCATAAGGCTGCCCTTTTTCTCTTCACTATGTCTGCCTGGTTTTGTGTTGGCATCCTCTGGACTTCATTTATCTTGCTTATTACTCTTCATTTTCAGGAAGCATGGTTTTGACTCAGAGAGCAGCTGTTTGAAAATAAGTCTGGGTCTTTTTGCAGTTTTCTGTTGTGCTTATGGGTTTCCATGACCAATTTTCTAGTGTGTTTGTGTGTGTGTGTGTGTGTGTGTGTGTGAAGCAGAGTTTTTGGTGGGTGCTCATGGTACATAGAAAAGCTGGCAGGTACACTCTAACTTGCAGGACAGAGAGACAGGATTAGTCATCTGTTACTCAGTTTTTTCTCATTGTATTCTCCAATTAAAATTGATCTCAGCTGGGCGCAGTGGCTTATGCCTTCCCAGCACTTTGGGAGGCTGAGGCAGGTGGATCACGAGGTCAGGAGATTGAGACCATCCTGGTCAACATGGTGAAACCCTGTCTGTACTAAAAATACAAAAATTAGCTGGGCATGGTGGCGTGCGCCTGTAGTCCCAGTTACTTGGGAGGCTGTGGCAGGAGAATTGCTTGAACCCAGGAGGTGGAGGCTGCGGTGAGCTGAGATCGGGCCATTGCACTCCAGCCTGGGTAACAAGTGCGAAACTCCATCTCAGAAAAAAAAAAAAAAAAATATTGATCTCACCAGCGACTTATTTTTCCAACTCCTCCACCGTGCTAATTCCTCCACCCTGAGTCTTCAGGATGACATTTGGCCAGTATGCCCTGTATGTGTGTGACTGCCTGTGGGGATAAACAATAAAAACACAAAGTGTCTTAAGAATTACCTTATTACATTGGTTCCTTTTTATCTTGGAGAATTTGTAATTAAAAGCTATTTTTTGAGATAAGTTTCACTAATCTTAGGCGACTAATAACTTATAAATGGATTTCCTATAAGGAGAATTGAATACTTACCCGCCACCTCCCCTGAGACGGTCTCACTCTGCCACCCAGGCTGGAGTGCAGTGGCGTGATTTCGGCTCACTGCAACCTCTCCCTCCCCAGTTTGTGCAGTTCTCCTGGCTCAGCTTCCTGAGTAGCTGGGACTACAGATGTGCACCACCATGCCTGGCTAATTTTTGTATTTTTAGTAGAGATGGGGTTTCACCATATTGGCCAGGCTGGTCTCTGATTGCTGACATTGTGATCCATCTGCTTCAGCCTCCGAAAGCGCTGGGATTACAGGCATGAGCCACTGTGCCTGACCTGAATACTTTTCATGATGGCAAAATCTAAGAGGCAACAGAAAAAAAAAAACGTTTTTAAATTTTCTGACTAGGAAACTTGGCTGAGAGTTTAATTAAGTGCCTATTGTGTTTTCCAGTGAAATGCAGATCTTACAGATTACTTCTTACAGTTAGGAAAATTCCACACTTGTGTAATATTAGAACAACTGTAGTTTTCCTATCTTAGGGCAGAGGTTCAGTATTCCATGGGGAGAGAAAGTCAGTAATTACCTTTGTTACTCTTTTTCTTTAAAGGAATTTTCTAGCATATCCAGTTTATCAGTAACTTCTTAAATTGGTGACTTGGGTGTCTTCTAAAAAGGCCCAGGATGACTTTTCCCCCTTCAATGTATGCTGAATTTTAGGTGTGATGAAAAAGGTATCAAAATGATGCTTCCTTTGACTCTGAGCATCTGTTGCCCACGTTGCAGTCACTTCGAGCTGAATTTAGGTGGCCCTCAATGTAAGTGCTATGTCCAGACATGTCCAAATGAGCACCAAGCCGGAAGTTTATGAACACGCCAGAGGATACCCCAGCTGTTGTAATGCAGCAGTGTGCCTTGAAATACTCAGCATGGCTTGGTCTTCAGAGGGGAGTTTTGTTTGTATATTCCTAGTCCAGTAGTAAATTCTGCTTTAACATAACCACCATGTTTGCTACTTGAAATCCGCACATAACTGGAAGTGAAACGGTATCTTTCTTGCATTTTTTAGCCTTTCTAACACCATACCTGTGGAAACATAACACTGTAAAAACAGTTCTTATAAAGCAGCACGTTATACTCCCCTGTTTGCCTACATGATTTACTAATTATGTAGTAATTAAAGCCATTACTTATCAATCAAATACCTTTAGACTTTACCACAGTTATAAAAGTTGGCTTGATGTAGTAAAACTTGTATCTCTCTAATGTATGAGCATAGGAGAATGCCAGTCAGAATTTATTGTTTGAAACATAAGGCTGGCCGTGGTGACTCACGAGTGTAATTCCAGCACTTTGGGAGGCTGAAGTGGGTGGCTCACCTGAGGTCAGGAGTTCAAGACCGGCTTGGCTAACATTGTGAAACTCTGCCTCTACAAAAATACAAAACTTAGCCAGGTGTGATGGTGCATGCCAGTAATCCCAGCTGCTCAGGAGGCTGAGGCAGGAGAATCACTTGAACCCTGAGGCAGAGGTTGCAGTGAGTGGAGATCATGCCACTGCAGTCTAGCCTGGGCAACAGAGACTCTATCTGAGAAATAAATAAAAACTAAATAAATAAATAAATAGATGTGATCCTGCTATGTTGCCCAGGTTGGACTCAAACTTCTGGGCTCAAGCAATCCTCCTGCCTCAGCCTTCTGAATAGCTGGGATTACAGGTGCAAACCACCATGCCTGGCGGGAACTACTCTTTAAAAAGAGTTTATGTTGCTTGTATTCATTAGAGAAAAAAACGAGTTGAAGAAATGGTAATTGTTGGTCAAAAAAGCCAAAAGATTTAAATCAGGTCTTGTGTATGGGTATGTATATGTGCATGTATTTATTGAAGAAAATGTGTTTCAATTTGAGAATTAGAAAACTGGATATTTCATTTTAATTATTTAAAGAGTAGACTCGTTCTTCCATTATTGAATCTTCTTTTATCCCACCAAATGGCTTAATCTAATTACTCTGCCTATTTTGGTTAAGACACAGGGAAACACTCTAAAACCTGTGATAATTTTCAAAATATAATTTTAAGATTTGCTCTTACATAAATCACAAGAAGAAATACAGCTGGAAATAATTTCACTTTTCTTGCTGTAAATTTTTTTAGTGGGTTTGTAACAGTATACATTTTCTTGCTAGATGCTAACGATACATTTTGTTATCTGTATTAGGAATTACATATTTAATAGGAATAGTGAATAAATTGGTCTGCTCTCATGCTGTGAAGATCTTAAAGTACCATTATATTCCTTTCTGTAGTCATAGCTCATATGTGAAAGGTCTCATGTAAATATCTGACTTGCGGTAAAATTACATTTATGCAAGATAAAAAATGAAGAGCTTTATTTTTCTTCATCTAGAATGCACAGAATAACCGGGTAAGGAATGGATGCATAGGGCCTTTTTTCCTTTTAAATTTGTACTGCTAAATACACTAAGGAAACTGACATCAAAACCAAATTCAAGGACTTCCACAGACATTACAGGTCAATTTTAGTTCCAAAGGAAATAAATATTTTTAAAGTTCTTACATAGCCCAGTTTTCTCTTCTTTCCTTTTTTTAATTTGAGATGGAGTTTCACTCTTGTTGCCCAGGCCGAAGTGCAATGGCACAGTCTTGGTTCACTGTAACCTCCATCTCCCGGGTTCATGCAATTCTCCTGCCTCAGCCTCCTGAGTAGGTGGAATTCAGGCGTGTATCACCACACTCAGCTAATTTTGTATTTTTAGCAGAGACAGGGTTTCTCCACGTTGGTTAGGCTGGTCTCAAACTCCCAAACTCAGGTGATACGCCTGCCTCGGACTCCCAAAGTGCTGGGATCACAGGCATGAGCCGCCGCACTGGACCAGTTTTATTTTCTTGAAATGTTAACTGGACACCTGGTTAGTCAGTTTGTTTTGACCCCACAGTTTGTTTTTATGTTGGGGCAGTTGGAGGAACTGAACTTTGATCCTGATCCTTTATGTACTCCTGTGGTGAAACTGAGTCCATTTTACTTAACACGTAATATATCTGTGCATTAGGAAAACTTGGTAGAGAAGACTATGTTTCTATGCAGATATAAAATATCTAAACTCATTCGTTATGAACCAACGATAATGAAGGAAAACTTGGACGTCCACATACAGATTTTCTTGAATTAAAGAAAAAAAGCCAGACACTGACAAAGGAGAGTTGAACTGAGAAACAGTACCCTGAAAACTGCAGAAATGAGGGAAAGGGGTAGTGGGCCACAAAGAACTTTGTCCTTTTCAGAGATCCCCAGAGAAGCCCTGTCCCCTTCCCCCGACCCCCTGCCAGAATGTTGGGTTTCAAAGAATGAACAGATTAACGGATATCAAGTCGTGTGGCCTGAGCTAAGGATAAAGAATCATTTGCCTGAGTTACAGTACTGGCTGGGTTAGTACAGGCCTTCTACTTGGAATATCTCTCCATGAAGGAAAAAGGAACATAAGTAAGGAAGATTAAATTTGTGGCTGTTGGAAGGGAGACATACTAAAGAAACTACCGAAGGCCAGGAGAAAGCAGGAAGAGAAACGCAGTTGAAGTTCTGTAATACTGAAGAGTTGGGCAAGAACTGCCAATAATGGAGCCAGTGTACATCTGAGACTAACACCAGGGCTTCCAACGGTCTGTGAGAGGGAGAGCTCTGCTGATGGACGTAGGTCCAGAATCATTAACTGATTTATTTGGGCCATGTCACTGGGGGCAGTATTAAAAGACTTTGCCAACATCCTGCTTTCTCTATGGAAAAACCAAGTGGCCCTGGAAGAGGCTAAGATAAAGTTTCAGACTTGGGCTCCACAGAAGTGGAACTTGAGGCTGGGTCTAGTACAAGGACCTTCATGTATCAGGTTAGAGATTTTGATGCTTTTGGTGATTTTTGTACCAAGCATATACTGTCACCTGGGATCAGTCTATTATACTTTCTATGAAATAATTATTCCAAAGAGGCTGACAGTCCAGGCAGGAGACAGCCCAGTAGAAGGACTGTCTTACTTGTTATTTATGGAAGGCCAGAAGCACCTGGTTCACCTGAAGGTGAAGAGAAACCATTTTGTGAATAACTTTCCAGTCTACACTTACCACAATGGCATCCTGGGGCAAGAATCACCTTTCATCTCCCATGACTGCCACTATGAAGGCTACATAGAAGGAGTGTCAGGTTCTTTTGTTTCTGTCAACACCTGTGAGGGTCTCAGGGGCATCTTGATCAAGGAGGAAAAATCTTACAGCATTGAGCCCATGGAGTCTTCAAGACGGTTTGAACATGTGTTATATACCATGGCACACCAAGCACGAGAGTCCTGCAGTGTCACTCCCACAGATAGCCATGTGGGGTCCACTAGCTGGCAACAAGGGAGCAAGAAGCCTCATGATCTACAGGCGCTGTCCTACTTGTGGTCACACCCCAAGTACGTGGAAATGTTTGTTGTGGTCAACAACCAGCGGTTCCAGATGTGGGGCAGTAACGTCAACGAGACGGTCCAGAGAGTAGTGGATGTCATTGCTGTGGCCAACAGCTTCACCAGGGGAATAAACACAGAGGTGGTGCTGGCTGGAATGGAGATCTGGACCGAGAGGGAACTAATAGAGGTCGCAGTGGACTTGCAAGTCACACTCAGGAATTTCAATCGCTGGAGACGAGAGATGCTCTTCCATCGTGCGAAGCATGACGTTGCCCACATGATCGTTGGGCATCATCCTGGACAGAATACGGGCCAGGCCTTTCTCAGTGGTGCCTGCTCAAGCGGTTTTGCGGCAGCTGTTGAGTCCTTCCATCATGAAGATGTGCTGTTGTTTGCAGCCCTCATGGTCCATGAGCTCGGGCACAACCTGGGTATTCAGCACGACCACTCGGCCTGCTTTTGTAAAGATAAGCACTTTTGCCTCATGCAAGAAAATATCACAAAAGAAAGTGGCTTCAGCAACTGCAGCTCTGACTACTTCTACCAGTTCCTTCGAGAACACAAAGGGGCCTGCCTATTTAACAAGCCAAGGCCCAGGGCCCGCAAGCGTAGGGATTCTACCTGTGGAAACGGTGTGGTGGAGGACACGGAGCAGTGTGACTGTGGTTCTGCCTGTCACCTCGACCCATGCTGTGATCCCACATGCACTCTGAAGGAGAATGCTGAGTGCAGCCACGGCCTCTGCTGCCTGGACTGCGCTTTCAGAAGGAAGGGGTTTTTATGTCGTCCGACTCAGGATGAGTGTGACCTCCCGGAATATTGTGACGGTAGCTCTGCAGAATGCCCTGCAGACAGCTACAAGCAAGATGGCACGCTGTGTGATAGAATTCACTATTGCTCTGGGGGTCAGTGTAAGAACCCCGATAAGCAATGCGTGAATATATATGGGTACCCTGCAAGATCTGCCCCGGAAGACTGTTACATTTCAATGAATACCAGAGGAGACCGGTTTGGAAACTGTGGCCGTCCCACTGAGGATCGGCAAAAGTATGTTCCATGTTCAAGTGATAATGTATTTTGTGGGAAACTCGTATGTACAGGTGTTGAATCCTTACCACGACTCAAAGCTCAGCATACAATGATCCAGGTCCCTCATGACGATGACTGGTGCTGGAGCATGGATGCCCATAACATTACTGATATCCCTGATGATGGAGATGTGCACATCGGCACTTCTTGTGCCCCAAACAAAGTCTGCACGGATTACTCCTGCGTTCATCACTCCGTACTCCTGTATGACTGCAGACCAGAGGAATCGTGTCATGGGAAAGGAGTTTGCAACAATTTAAGGCACTGCCATTGTGAGTTTGGTTTTGCTCCTCCTGACTGTAAAAATCCAGGAAACGGAGGTAGTGTGGACAGTGGTCCTCCGGAAATTCAAGTTGCCGACAACAATGCAAGTGGTCATGAATGTCATGCTCGTGGTCAACCTGCAGGACAAGACCTAGACTATAAAGTGGCAGTGATACTAGTCCCCGTGTTTCTTCTGGTCTTATTGTGCACTCTACTTACAATGTCCTACCTCTGCTCTGAAGTACAGACAGTAGTGGCTGAAGTAGAGGAGTCATCAACGGAGACAACATTGGAATCAGAGCTGACTTCAGAAGATATGGTCCCAACAGCAGAGGAAATCCTACCAGCAGGTGAGGAGGCCCCACCACCAGGAGAGGAGGCTCTACCTCCTGGAGAAGGCTTGCCACCAGCAGAGGCCCCGCCACCAGCAGAGGCCCCACCACAAACAGAGGCCCCACCACCAGCAGAGGCCCCGCCACCAGCAGAGGCCCCGCCACCAGCAGAGGCCCCGCCACCAGCAGAGGCCCCACCACCAGCTGAGGCCCCACCACCAGCTGAGGCCCCGCCACCAGCAGAGGCCCCGCCACCAGCAGAGGCCCCGCAACCACAGGCTGCCCCACCAGCAGAGGCTGCCCCACCAGCAGAGGCTCCCCCAGCACCAGAGGCTGCCCCCCCACCAGAGGCTGCCCCCCCACCAGAGGCTGCCCCCCCACCAGAGGCTGCCCCCCCACCAGAGGCTGCCCCCCCACCAGAGGCTGCCCCCACGCCACAGGCGCCACCAGCACAGTAGGCCCCTCCACCAGATGCCTGGGAAGAGCCGGCAGCAAAAGAGGGAGCAGATGAAAGGAAAAGCTAAGCGAGAAGAGTGAAGATGAAGCCAAATATCTCAAACATGTCAAGCATTGAGTGGGAATAGGAAGCTTATAGAAGCAAATGTGAATGAGAATTGGTGTCTACAGAGGTTGTGACTGGACTACGTAGAAGCATACTAATGTACGAAGAGGGATTTCTCCACTTACAATATTCATTTTAGTAAACTTGTCATATTTTGATACATAAAATCATATATAAAATATACTATATTTCTGTTTTTTCAAATTTCATGAAATAATTTTAGTTCTTCTTATGGGTCAGTGCTATGAATCTTATGGGTCGGGCCAATTTCTGAGTCACTCAGTTTGCTTTTTAAGGCGTATAAACTTTCATTCACATGATCTGACATAATGCATTATTGATTATTCATGCCTATATTGAGTGACTGAGTTATTCATACCAGTAATAGTGGCTCATTATGTTAGGAAAGTCATTAGTGTGATTGAGTATACTAATATGCCCTGTCTGCTTCTATTCAGGAAACATAGGTAATTTTAAATAAATAAAACGTTTTTATCTACATGAATCATCACTCCAGACTCCAAGCAGCCTAGTGCTTGTGATCCTTTATTTTTGGGGCTCTGTAGAAGGGCCTAGACCTGATCCAGGGACATCTCACATACTCGGTCTGGATGTATAGAAGAGGGGAAGGCAACTTAGGTAGGATGCCCCAGGCAAAGTGTTGAGTTCTATTTGAAGTATTTATTTCTTCTTCTTCTTTTTTTTTTGTATTAATGATTCTACTGCAGTTCATCTTTCGTCTATTGACAATTGATAGGAACATTTCAAATTACAAGTAACAGAACTTTCAATGTGGTAGTCATTTTTTGGTGAAGTGAGGACACAGTAAATATAACAGTAACATTCTCCATTCTGTGCCAGGCCCTGTGCTAAACACCTTATATTCACTGTCTTCATTTAATCCTCCCAACTGCCCTGTGAAACCTCCATCTTGTACATGAGGAAACAGAGACCGAAGTTTGCTCTAGAGCTAGCCAGGACCTGCATCCCTCCCCAGGAATGAGTGAATCCCTTGCCTCATGAGCCTTTTTCTTCAGTTAAAAAAAGAAAAAAAAGTGAGGGAAAAGACATGTCCTTAACTGCCCAGAACATGGCTTCAGCCGCAGTGACACTAAGGAAACGAAAGTTGTACAAATGAATGTTGATCCTATCATGAACCTATGGTGTTGTGTAGTCATTATGGATTGAAGAGTCTTTTCCCCTGCTACATCCTGAAAGCATGGCTGGCGATAAGGTTGGCATCTTGTTTAACTCTGAGGGCCCAGCTTGTGGTAGGTGCCAAGACAAGTCAATGACTTAACCAGAGCCAACCTCAAAATATGGGGATTGCTAGTCTCTAGGCATGGCACATGCAAAATCTTTCTCAGGAACAACAGAGCTACAGAGTGAGTAAATGTTCTGTCTCAAGGAAGATCCTAAGCATCAGTCCCCGAGCACATACTGCCGAGCCCCTCTTCTAACTGCCCACTCTATGTGAGATAACAGAGCAAACAAAAGGATAACACCTGCTGTCTCCTTTCAAGAAGCTTATGTTAGTTTCTCTGAGTAGAATAAACACTTCGGAGCAAAATCTGAAATGAAGTCTTCAGTTGTGGATACGTGACTACAAGTAAAACAGGTAGGAGATCCGGGTCACAGGTCTCAGGACTGATTCTGATAATCAAATCCAGGTTGAGTTTCATGCCAAAAGATCAAAATTCACAGTGGGAGACCAGGATATCAGG